TCGATCGATCAATTGATCATGGATATATCTTTTGGGTATATGCACTTCATTTTTAAGCATTTCCCGTTTTCTACGAGATGTAAGGTTACTTATACTGGAACTATTGTCACAGCTAGACTATAGAAAATAATAGGCTTCGTATGATAGAGTATTCTGTTAAAACTGTCTATATTTATGAGAGATACTAAGAATTTCAGTCCAAGAAAGTTTCACATCGAACCGAAATTTCCATCATGAAGGGTCTTCTTTCTATGAATAGTCGATATACTTCGTTGTGCTTGGTAGGACGACATCGTACTCAACACTACATTGTAATGATAACACATGCTGCTGAGCGACATGGAGTACACCAACTATTCATAGAAATTATCCAAGTGATGAAAACCAGTGGTTTACATTTTGCAGAAAAGTTGTGAATCTTCATAGTTTGACGTGCGTCATGTAAAGTCGTCACACTGAAGCCATCTGAAACATTAACACAGTATGAAAATGTCTGTTTTTGTTGCAGAACAGCTGACCAATCAGTTCTTTTGCAACTAGTTTCTGTTCATTCAGAATACTATCTTAGACATCATCTGAGAGCTCCATGAATAACAATCTCTGAAAATACAGTTTTGTAGTGATGTTTATTTTCATTTTTATTTTGTATTCGCTTTGTTATTGAATGATCACAAGTATACTTTATATACTGGGCTAGACTATCAGATATTGTTAATCGATGAAAAATGAGAAAACAGTATTATTCATAGCTAAAACAGGGTTTAGTGTGTTTTTATGCGCGACTGACCTATCATTTTGAACGGTTAATTGCGGTGAGCCACTGAAACTAATCCGATATTTACAACATGGGTAGGCTCCATATACGAAATAATCAGGTAAACTTCGTACTGAGTCTAGAAAGTTCGGTTCAGAAATGTCGGTCTTTCTTTATGAGCTTCTCTAAATTTATTGGGATTTTATTAAAAAAATGCTAGTAAATTTTCCAGTTCAACCGAGCAATATTAAATGAGGAACATAAGTGACTTGGATTAAGAAATCCACATTCTATATTATGCAGAATTCAGGAGAAGATTTCACTAGCAATTGACTTTTATGAAAAAAAGAAGTAAAAAATAAAAGTTTGATAAGATGCGAACAATAACTTGGTTTTCCAGCCCAAGAAATACAAACTGTTTCCAGTCGAAACTTCATGGATCTAGTCGTTGTTTTAATTGATCTGGGTTATTTCTAACAAGATTTTTTTATGATACAGGAACTTGAATCAATTGCTATTTCTAGTTTATTCACTGTCAATTCTTTGATATAAAAAAAAATGAAAAAAGAATCACGTTTAAATAAATAAATTCACATAAATAGATTTTAATTTGCACATGACGCCAAATCAATAAAGCAAGATTAGAAACTTTCCATCTTAGTAATGTATTAAAATTAATCCAAATATTTTATAATTTCTTTACAACTATCCAATAAATGCATTACTAATTTTGAAATTTATAAGATAATGTATACAATTTCATAATTTGCATCGATTAAAATTTGAAAATACGACAAAAAATATTCCTTGAAAATTAACTACATTTATAATTCAATTATTTTCTTTTTAAACATCATGATTAAAATAATATTGTCAATAATAATTTGTTTAATTTAGTTTCTATTTCGACCAAGTCTTAATTCATATGACGTACTAATTATGTTAAATCCACTTCAATGTCCGCGTGCTTATCAAGCTGTTGATCATGTAATAAGTGAAATAACATACACAACAAGAAAGAAATTAAGCGATAATGATCAATCAATCGACGGCAACAAACAATGTTTATCTATTGTTGATTATGATCCTGCTCAATTATTTGTTAATGAATTACGAGTAGAATATTTAAAAAAAAATTTTTGTTTTATATTCTAATTTCATTTGTTGTCTTCTAGACATCCTATAACGATCAAGCAGAATTTTTTCATGATGAATTCGGTGGTCTTGTAGTTGGTGTACTCTGGAAACCATCAAATCATAACCATGTTAATATCGATTATGTTAAAATAATCGATCAATGGAAATTATTAGGAACAGGAATTGTTAAAGAAATGCGTACATTTCCTGAACGATGGTGTTAAATCGTTTGTTGTTTTGTTACTAGCTAAAATAGCTAGATAAAATAAAAATTACGTTTACAAGAATTTCGTTTGATAACTAGACTAATACAAAAAAAAAAGAAATTTAAAGATAAAAGAATATGGTATTATTGATGATTATTATCGAATAGTTTTTATGATATGATTTTCCTGAAGAATGCTAATTAAGTAGTGAGATGAACCATAAAAAAGAATCAACTAGAAGTATTAATTTTTGTTCTTATTCAAAAGAAATTCTTTGATTTTGAAAAATTATGATCATTGTTTTCTAATGAGTTTTATTTAAATGATAACTATTAATTCAATTTTTCAATTAGGACAATCCACAAAATGAATAATAATTTTTAAATAAAACTTTACCTGATAGTTTACGTATATCACGAAGCTTTTCATATTTAATTGCATCTTTCGAACTTCTAGCATTTGTGTTTTTAAAGTAGAAAATATGAAAAAAAAAATTCTTCTTTGCTACACTGATTGTATTGTTTTCAAAGCAATCATACCGTATGTGAATGTACTACATCATGATTGACAACATTCAAATTCTAAATATGCAGAATAAGTTTAGGGTCGTTTTTTCGAACAACAGTATTTGTCAAAAGTTCCACTATCAGTTGAAAAGTATGTAAATGCGCGTCATTTCATCTTGTATTTTGATGAAAAATACAACGTGATCATGATTTGATCGGTCTACAAACGAAAGAACTATAAAACTAATACAAAAAATTTTATTCAGACGAAGATATTTTAGCATTAGCAAAAAATCTCCGTATTTAACCTTTGATTTAAGAGATTACTGCTGTCTCTATCACTGATAAAAGTTTTATGTTATATGATTGCAGATTGCTTGACTTATAAAGTTATCTTTAGATATTCTGACTGTCTTCAATAATTTCCATTGAAATATTCTTCAATGAGTTTTCTATCCTAATTAAATATTCCCTGAAAATTTCATAACTAAATCCATTGATGTAGCGAAGACCTATGTCAAGGATATCTTAGATGATGGTAACAACACTGTTTCTCAAGGTCACAAGAGATTAGACTCATATCTGTGACACAGCTAAGATAATAGGAGCTTTAATTGTCAGAAAATGACTGATATCAACACTTCAAAATAATGGCGAACGATAAAAGTATTTAAAAAAGCCTTTTTGAGATTCAAGGATAACAACAGTGTTTTTTCAATCAATGTAGTGCATTAAGCCCAATCGACCTTCAGTTGGTACTTGCGATCAAGGTTTACCGAGCTCTGTTTACAGTACAAATTCGAGACAAAAAAAAATCAAATTTAGGTGGTTCGTACCTGTTAGTAGGACTTTTGATGAGTACTGTATATAGATCTTATTCAATTCTTTTGCTGTAATAAAACGACTTGACAAATTTAAAGTTCATATGTTATGCGAATGGACAAATCGCTTTATACTCATTGTGATTAGATATGTGTGGGACTACGAGAAAGAGACGATATTGAGACTGATGTCGAAACTCAAGTGTATCGTAAAATATTCTGTGGTTTCAAGCAAATTATCTTATACATTATCAATCAGGACATACTTCAGGAGTGTCAACTAAAAAAACTCAGAAATAAGTACTGAAGAATTCCTATAGTTGCGATACGAATGAATTCTGGTATGGTTTTCTCTAGACTAGATGCAATTTACCGTGATCGAAGTCAAAAAGAATTGATACCGCACATTCCTGATCGTGATTGAACAGACATGAAGGAATTTGGTTTGTAATGACACACAATAAGCTTGCTTTTTATGAATTATCTTATAAGAATAGAAACATTAAACAAAATCCATAAAACTCGAAAAAATCAACCATGAACTTATTCTTTACATTCAGAACTCCCAAATAGCCAATTACGATAAATCACAATGCAATACATTACTATATCCCCATTGATCTTTTTTTAAGTGATTCTTACGAGAAAACTACCCGAATTTGATATCCACTGTTTAAGTTCATATTGTATTCACAAAATGGTCTCGATAAGACTAAAAAACTCAAAAAGGATTCATGTTCATGAGTTTCTGCAACCGAATTATGATTGTTGTCTATTCAGCTTTCGATATTTACCGAGAAATCAAACAACGGTATTGTGCTCTGAAATTTCTTCCATAAACAAATCGAATGACTAATAGAATATATTGGCACGAATCCTTTTAGAATTTTTCTAGTGCTACGAAGGCTTTCTTGTAAATCCGATAAGAGCTCAGACGGCGAGTATCAGATCGGGTAGCTCCCTCGTTAGTTTTACTCATTAATATAATTTTGTAAATATTCTTGTTAAAACTGCTCCCATTTTTTTTTATCATCGATTCATTTGTCATAAAATGATTACAATATAAAATTTCTTCTATTGATGTCGTCTTCAAAATGAGTGAATATATTCCCAATGAGCGCTTTTATCACGTGCACAAAACAAATGCGCGCGTGTAATAGCAACGAATTCCAAGGATAAAAAAAAAGAAACAAAACAAACAAACAATGATAAAGAAAATGTTAACAAGAACACAGCAACCGGAGAATAAACTAGATAATCATCAAAGCATATATATAATGGATAAAAAATGATTACAATAACTATGGACTTTCCTATTCTTGTTTTGCTTTTTTTATATAGTGATAAATAGTCAAAAACGTAAAAGAAATGAGGTTAATAAACAAAAAAAAATTTTGAATAGAATATATGATGTATGTTTCTTTCTTATCGTTTGATTTAGTTTTAGTCTTACTACGAATAACTGTTGTAAAGAAAAAGAATCAATAGACAAACAACAAACAAAAGACAAAAAAAGGATTTTTTTTTTTTGTAACACTATATGATTAACATTTTCATACTTAAACTACGATAAATTTTAAAGATCTATATGGGGTGCTTCAACATTCTCATCAGCTTCTTCTGTTTCTTCTGCCGTCTAAAAAGAAAAAAAAGATATTTATTTTCTTCTGTAAATTTAAATAATGCTTTTGAATCATACTTCTTCAGGAATGTGACCTGCTTCTTTTCCATTTGAATCAATAAATTTTGTAAGTGATTCAACTGTACGTTCTCCTTGATAATCAATAACTTCATCAGAATCTTTAGGAAACAATCTAGAAAAGAATTTGATTTGACAAGAAAATTTTTCATTTGAATAAAAGTTTATACTTTATTGTTGGGAAACTTTGAATTTTTATATCTTCAAGTTCATTAACGGTAGCATCCATTTTGGCAATAACAACATCGGCATTATCTTTATATTTTTCACCTAATTGTTCATAGATAGGTGCTAATTGTTTGCAATGACCACACCTATAATAAATTATTTTACTAGATTTTTTTTTTTTCTATATAATAAATTATTCTTACCAAGGAGCAATAAATGTGACAAGTACAGTTTTCTTTTTATCATACGCGACTTCATAAAAGTTTTTACCAACTAAAATTTTAACTGGGGCTTTATCCCAATCATCAGGAATATCTTGTGTAAGTAAATGTGGTTTAAGTTTTCCATCAAAGAAGTCTTTAACAAAGTTGAGTAAAACTTCTGATGTTATATCTGATGAATCAGGTTTAAATTTGCTCATTTCATCTTTTAGTGTAATTAAACGAACAGCTGGAACATTGGATGTTTTAAGACCAAAAAATTCAAGTACACGTTCATTCTCTTCATCATCAGAATCGATTGAAACAAAAAGTGTCTAAATAAATAAATAATGAAATTTAATTGTTGGAAAAATAAATAAAAATATATATTTTTTTACTTTTCCACGATATGTTTTAGCAGCAGTTTTAAATTCTTCACGAAATTTTTCATAATCACTGCTTTTTTTACTAGCAAATAAAAGTATATGAACTTTAATGTCACCACCGAAAATTTTTTGTGCTGTCTAAATATTAGTAAAAAACATCAATAAATTTTATTTGTTTATTTTCTTTTTCTTACTTCAGCATTAAAATCAACAACCATTGGAAGTTGATTTTCTTGAATAAATTGACGTATTGAACTTTCATCAATTGATGATGTAAGATCATTACGACCTTCGTCAAACTAAATATACAAAAATATAAAAATGAAAACTAAAACCAAAAGAAAACAAAATATACTTTTTTCAAGAGAACAATTGTATCTTTAGTAACATCAAGTTCTTTAAGAACATCAGCATTTGATGTTATACCAAATGGAATACCATCAGTTGTTTTAGCTACTTGAAGAAATGATGCAGCAGTATCATCATCCATATCCTATTCAAAACAAAAATATTCATATAAAATAATAAAATAAAATTAATAATCAACCTTGAAAACACCAATAACAACAACATCATTAGCTTGTTTTAATTTATTAAGATCATCGACAGTTTTTAATTCTTCAGCTACTGGTCCAGTTTTCTTCTTTAACCAACTAACAATATCATCTTGTGCACGTCCACCAGTATATTCAAATGTAAGACCATCACTAAAGAATTTTATTGTTGGATAACCTTTAACTTCATATTTTTGTGCAAGATCTTGTTCAATGGTTGCATCAACACTAGCTAATTTAATTTCACTACCAGATTCAGCTAATTGTTTAGCAGCAGCAGCATAGGCTGGTGCTAAAGATTTACAATGACCACACCATGGTGCAACAAATTTAACAAGTAAATGTTTATGAGTTCTTAAAGTATCATCAAATGTATCTTTTGTAAGTGAAAGAACATGACTTTCATCGACGTTTGATGCATCATCACAACGAATATGTTTTGTTGTTTGTGTAAGAATAATAACAACAGCTAAAATTACTGCTTGCGTAAAACCTGGAAACATTCTTTGTATCTGTATTTGCTAATAAAAATCAATACAGTGATCTGAAAAAACAAATGCAAAATAAGAATCTATTTATATGCCTTTGTTAGTGTGTATAGAAATGCTCGAATAAGCTGTGCCCCGTCAGCACTAAGAAAAGAAAAATAACCGTGATCGATTCCACCATCCAAAATGATCCACGACGATATGCTGACTTCTATATAATACCCATCGTCGACGTGTTCTCTTTGTATATTGCACGGGTGGAAGAAATGGCATGAAAAGAGGTTGTAACGGAAGAAATTATTATTCTTATATAGAGGCACATGAGTACAAAGATATCAACATGGGCGGCAAACAAATCTGTTTTTTTAAATCTCAATTTTAATATTTTTTTTTAAATATTTTTGTATCAATCTATTAATTCTTTGATATAAATATTTTTACAAAAATTTATTTCATAGGTGACAGATAAAAAAACAACATATATTATGATTGGTTAAAAGTCAAATGACTCATTGTTATGATCAGCAGCCTGGCTGACTTTTTTTATGACATTTATTGCAAAAAACAAAATAATTCATCTTTAGAATCTGTCGATTTTTCTTCATATTAACGACAGCCTGTACAGTAGTTTTCTTAATTGACAAGGACATGTGAAAGTGAGGAAATCGTAGAATGTGGGTCGCAGTGTTGCTAATTTCGCTAAGTATTCCCATACTGCTTTGACAAGTCTTGTGTGCTACTTCTACACAATATGCATCGCCCTCACCCACATTTGTGCTTATTGTTTGCTATTCTACATACACTAATTATTAGGATGGTGTGTATTGTATAGAAGCACCAGATAATTTCATTTTCTTTTCTTCTTGAGTACATTACAAAATAATATATTAATCATATTTATTATAATTGAAAATCGATGATTCAATGAGAAAAGAAAGCGATAGACAAGTGTTTTTCTGTTTCGTTGCTCGATGTTTAAATTTATTTGCGTTAGTGTTTTTTCGTGTAGTTTTCATTGTCATTGTCGATATTTACCTTTTTGCGTTGTTCTCAACCCTTTCTTTTCTTCGCTTTAACCCTTTTGTCGATTTCTCTCTCTTTTTTCTTTTTCTTTTTCATTTGAACCTCAATAGCGTTCTGCATACTAACATTAAAAGTAGAGGTAACTCTCTCTCTTCTTCTACGAGGGAAAAAACAAAATGCTTGGATTTTTTATATTGATGTGACTCATTCTTTTTTTTTTCTTATAAAAATTAGTTTATAACGCAAAATAGGTATATGATCATTGAGTCATTTTATATATGTATTCAGCAGTCTGAACGAAACTAAAATAGTGGAAAGAAGAATATGCATTTCTCTTTTCTATTATCAATGTTAGTAAATAGATGTCGATGGAACTTAACATCCTTATAGAAACACATATGCAGTGATGAGTAAACAACCACTGAAATAATTCTTTAACTCTTGTAGATCGTTCATAACAAAATATGGTTTCAACAATTAATTCTGTCTTTCTTCTAGTTGGTAAGATTTTGACTTCATAGAAAAACAATATTTCATTGATTTATTTTGTTTTTTAGTTTGCATCATTCTTATTTCATCAACTAATGTAAGACGAAACAATCAAGTAATGCATTTACAATCTAATTCTTTGTTTTTTTTCAGGGAGTAAATCTTCCTGGTAATTATACATTACCAAAAACTGGTCCAAATTTATGTTTTGCTGCTCGATTTGATCTTGTGATTAATATTGAATATTTAAAAATAGATGGAGTAAATCATTAACTTTAATTATAAACAATAATCTCTTTGAAAAATTTTTCTTTAGAAAACAAATATTTCAAGAATTCCATTGAATAATCAAACTTTTCAATATTACGATGGAGCATGTTCATTATCTGATGCTCATACACTTATAATCGGAATGTTAGATAATTTAACAACAATAACATTCCAATTTGGTCTTAATGAAAAAAATCAAACATCATTAAAACAAGTTTTTGGTGCTGTAACTATTAGTAATACAGATTATTTTCCCAATTGTAGTGCGAATGTTAAAGGTCCACATGTATTTACAGCAAATGAATCATTATTTGTAACTGATCGTAGTAATTCTTATCGATGTAATACAAAAACAAAAATTGATAACTTAAAAGTTGATAACAATAATGTTACAATTAAATCAATTGATTTAGAAAATTTACGTATTCAACCATTTGTCGATGAAAAGGCTATATTTATTGATTATGCTGCAGGTAAAGTTAACTTTTATCCTTTTTCTTAATCCCTTTTTCTATCAAGACAATATCATATTAACCTTTGAAATATATCTGTCTTTTTTATTTCATAGAAAAAGTTTGTACAATGGATATATTTAAAAGTTCAACTTTGATTCCAATTATTGTTGGTGTATGTCTTGCGGTATTAGTTGTTCTTGTACTTGTTGTATATCTTGTTCGTCGTCGACGTTATCGTAATGGATATCAAAGTGTTTAAATTTAACATTAAAAATACGTGACATTTTTTATTCTATTTTATTTTTCTCTTTTTTGGTATTGAAACGTTCTCATTTATTTCATCGTGTTTAGAAATCTGAAGTTTTTTTTTTGAGTCAGTTGCACCTATGTTCTTTATGTACAAATCGACTAACTTTTTCGTTTGTTTTCTTTTTTTTTCTCATTAGAAGTTCTGCTCTTTTAAATCAAGATGTGTATAATGTTTAAAACGATTATTAGAAACTCATGCTGACGCATTATGTTCTTTTTTCTTTGGTTTTTTTTCGTTCGTTGAACAATAAACCAGCATTTCTTCTTTTTTGTGAAATATTTTGCATGTATGATAATTCAGAAATGATCATAACAATTGTTTGAAAGAAAAGATAAATAGACGCATGTGTTGTAGTGACTACATTTACTATCTAACAAGAAAAAGGGGGAGGAGTTATTCATGTAAATTTGCCAGATAAAAAGAATGAAAATAGATATACGAGGCACTTGAAGTGTCTGACATCCATTAATAAATTCAAAGTTAAACTAAAAATAGCAATAAAAACCGAGTGTTTCTTTGCAAAGAAAAAAAAAACGACAAGAAATATGATTCGATATTTGTCGTAAATAGCGGAAAATTTAATAGATCATTGTAATTGTTGATTTTTTGTTATCGAAGGTTTTTAAAGACGAAATAAACTATGGAATATTTTCATTCTATGAAACCAATACATCATATAATTGAGAGAAAAAAAAAGAAAACGAGCAACTGCCGATAAGTGAAAGATAAAACATCGAATGTTATTCAGCAGGGAAAAAGAATCTGTGAGGTTTATTGATGTTATTAACATGTTTGCATATAATCGAAGTCAGCTTTTTTACTATCAATGGTAAATATTTAATTCTTTGATCGTTCTAGGTGAATGAAAGATAATGTAATTTATTGACTTCTTTACATGTCATTGTATTTTTTCCAACGTATAAATATATCTTAAAAGGAAATATCTTCAGATGCTAAATTACTTAGCGACCGAGATGATTGTTCATTTAATGAGTACTAGTAATTTACAGAATAGTCTAGAACGATTTGGCTTTTCCAAACCTTCGTTCTTGCGATATCGAAATTGACTAGGCTTTCTACAAAAAGCTGCGGTCATGTAGAAAATAGACTTTCAGCTTCAAACTTTGCATGAACAAATTTCTCAATGAGATTAGTGGATTATGAAAGTTTTAGCTTTTCTAGTATTTCCTTTCTGGAGGTAAAAACAATTTACTGTTGCGCATAAAAGATTTTCGAGTATTAAATATCTCAGGATAGGAGATACTAGAGAAGTTACAACTTGTTCAAAGAACTAATCTCAGTGAGAACTTTGTTCATACAAACTTTGAAGTTGAAAGTCATTTTTCCAAGTGATCACAAGTTTTTGTAGAAAAATCCAACAAAATTTCGATATCTCAAGAACGAAGGTTCGGAAAAGCTAAATCGTTCTAGGCCATTCTATAAATTACTGGTACTCATCAAATGAGCATCGTCTCCGTAGAAAAGCGAGTTGACACCTGAAAAGGGTGCTTCGTGAGCTTTGTGTTTTATGAGTGCAAAAGTATGAACGAATAGGCTCTTGGACTCTTAATCTAAGTATAATAGCACAATCTGATTGTTTTTCTTTTATTTTCTGAGCTCAAATTTTATTGAGAAGGAACAATTTAGGATTTAACTTTTTGTAAAGGTGATTAAGACGTCGGGTGTTCGTTTGTTAAAGATAAAATTAATGTACAAGAAGCGATGAATCCTCATTGAGTAAACTAATGAATGACTGCATTGTTATTAGCAAACAATTTGTTTTTTTGTTTTGGGATAAATAACTGAAAGTTCAAATACAGTGTATTAAAATAAAAACAATGAGAAGGCATTAATAGTTGCTATAGAATTTGAAATGAAAAGTAGTTTTATACATGATTTTCAACGGATTGTACACCTAAGCTGACAGCCCTGTTTTTGTACTTTGATTTTAATATAAGCAATTATAAGATACTTTACTCAAGATAAATGAAAAGACGATAGCGAGTTTTCTCAAAATAATAAAATGTTGAAATTGTTAATAACTATTTCGACGTTTTGATCAACTAAGTTATCATTATCAAGAATATTATGTACAATTAAGAAACGATATAAATTAATACAACCAAAAGAAAAGAAAACAAGATAGTGTTTCTATTAACCATTCGAATGAAGCAACATATTTCTTGGTTAGTTGATTTCGAATATCAACTTAGTTTGTGTCAAAATGTACTCTCATTCGCAAAACTAGCGGCTCCGCGGCAAAAATCTGTTTTTTCGAGAAATCTCTCGCTCTGCTTGTGTTCACTGATGCAGCATGGCACTACGATCAACGATAAATCACACATGAAGGAATAATCGGCGAAAATTTCAGCTCAATCGAATTGAAAGTCTTTGTAGCGTGCACAAACACGATATGATCGATTTTTCGACCTATTTTCGGCTGAGCAATCACTTTTTCTATTCCATTT